AGCAGCATAACAAGACGTATAGCAATTAGCAAACAAACACACATCGTCATGAGTTGGTATTCGGTTTGGCCCTAGTTACATGAGTTTGATGAGTTGATGAGCGTTGAAAGTGTTCGAACCATAAGTAGAGGAATGAATGATCTTTTAGAGGGCTTGAAGCATTCTGATGGTTCGGAGAATGGTCCATATCAAGGCCGGCTAGTTTGGATCTTAGCGTAAGTTGAATTTCCTAGATGACCTGAGACAGTGGTTTTAAAAACCGCCAAGTGAAGTCTTGAGTTTCTTTGCTTTTTAATCATATTAAATCTTCAAGAGCAAGCAATCGAAGAGCAATTAAGATTTGAATCTATGTAAATGTATGAGCTTTGAGCTAGAAAGAAAATGAAATTCTGTCTTTAACTTGCTCATCTCATTTGTCTTTAACTTGCTTTTTCTATTTTTATGGATCCAAAACTCTCTCATTCAAAATTCACTTTCAAATGACCTAAAAAAAAAAAAAACATGCAACATTCTTAAAATTGCCTAAATACAATGCTAAAACCCATCAAAATACAAGGAAAACAAAGAGCTTCCAATTAGCGCAAGGAGCATGTGATCAACGAAGAAAATCATCTTATCTATTGGGGCAAGGAGAGAAATTAATTATTGTGAAGAAAAGTTCTATATTTCCTTTGCAAACTGACATTCTAAGAAATATGTGACTTATACTTCCATTCCATCATTAATAGAGCATAATAGGCAGGATACTATGTCTGAACCAAACATAAGTATGCCAAGAAACTAAAACTGAAGTATTCGCTATGTTTACCCGCCAAAAGACCTTGTCACATAATGTTATGGGAAAACATGACGTCGGAAATGTTTTCTTACATATTTAAAAATCTACGAATGAGAAGAATATTGCTTCAATATTTAAGAATATTGTAGTTTTGGTCAATTAGTCTTTTCATACTTTTTCAATACGAGTAATAGAGTAATTTGGTCAATTAGTCTTTTCATACTTTTTTTTTTTTGATTGTCTGTCATTTAGCAATAACTACAACTTTTTGTTCATCACACCTTTAAAATGTTGAAATAACATAGGAGTTCTGATTCTAAATCAAACAAAACTGATATCATCCCGACATATAGAACGTCCCAACTCTATATTTAGATGTATGAACCGAACATGCATACCCATTACTGTTTTGTCAGTCTATACCGCAATTAGTATCTCAGAACATTCATTTAGCAATTTCTCGCAAGTATTAAGTTCATCTTGAAGCTAAGTAAGTAGAAAACACATTTAGAGAACAGAGAGATGTAATTCTATGGTGCGGTGGAGCCTTTTTTTCCGAGGCAATTCACGACTTGAGCATTATTAACTCCCTTTTGCTAAAAATGTTTAGCTTTATTTTACAAGACTTTCTACTTTAATAATAAAGGATTCAAATAAAATGATATGTCGGGTTTACAAGAAAAAATGTAAAGGCTAAAGGAGTGAAGGAGCTCATGAATTGATTGCTGAAATTTGAAAGCGTATTAAATAAGATGATGGATAAATGTTCTTGATGAAGGCAATGTTGCTCCGTATAGACTTAGCTTGAGCAGAAGCATATCCGAGTATGTGAAGAGAAAGAAGACAGCCATCTGAGAATTGATGAGAACAAAGTACATAACATAACTTAATTTAACCAAAGTTTTTTATTTTATAAAATGTGTCTCACCTTCTACATTTATACAAAGAGGAAGAGGCCTCTCCACACCTCCGTGTATATAAACCAATGCCCTAACGAAAACAAGAAGAAAATGAAGCTTACTAATCTGCATATTTTGACCAAGCTGTCACATGTAACTATTGAATTATTGGCGCAGAAGAATTACCGGGCAAATCTCCTTTGGCAGAGAACTCACGACAAAGCAATGCATAAAGAGATGCAAATGTCAAGTAATGGTTTCCTGCCAATAGAGATCTTGCCCTGTAATGCATTTTCACCCTTTGATATATCTCACCTCTCCACGATTATAACCTACAAATTCGATGTTTGCATTTATACAATCCTAGAAGCAAGCATATTCCACGGTACAATGCTAATGCATTGTAAATAAGACTGAGGTTTTATTCCGAGAATGATCTCTTCTTCTCCGTTAAATTTCTGAGGAATAATTTCACCTTGCCACAAGTTTTATGGTCAGAGACATTCCTAAATAAAGAGCGGTCTATTACTTTTATTTTTTCCTTCAAGAATATGTGGCCACATCTTCTTCTAGCACACATCAAAGTAAAACATCGTACATGTTTTGCTTGAGACCACTTGTTTAAGAGTTTTATATACAATGTAATGACAAGAAAGTAAAAAAAAATGCTTAATGTGGAAAAAGGAAGGTAAATAATTAATTATATAAAGTCGAAAGTGATTCTTGAAATGGAAGATCCGCGGGAATGTTCTTTCTGTTTTAGGAGGCTTCCACAAGAAGACGCATAAATTATGCAGAAGCTCGAAATTGCAATTTACACTGCACGATTACAATTATATGTACGTGAATTATATACGTTATATGCCGCTCAATAACTTCAAATCAACTTTGAAAAAGACAAATGTGCTAATTCTGTCACAATATAAAAAGTACATTAAAGCAATGGACCATATAAATATAGTCATTACTTTAGAGATCATTTCTTTTAGTTAATTTGTCTATTAAATAAAACTACAAGCATCATAGTAAATTACATACGTTGTATCCGATTCTTATATCACCTTTTAAGATTTGCGATTTTCCTTGAACATTGACACGATACAAAAAGTTCTCAGCATTATTTAGGTACAGCATATTCTGACGTATATCCATCTCCACCAAATATCACTTGTAAGTTGTAAGAGATCTCCAATATTACTCTATTTGTGTCTCCAAACTCTACAACATTAATTTTATATGTAAAATAAACAAAATTATATATTTTAATTCTATACGAAAATATAATTATACTAACAATGATTAGTTATTTAACTAATATATTTTAAAATCCAACAAAAACATAAATTAAATTAGAAAATATAACATAACAATTAAAGAATAAATTGAAAATACATAATTAGTTTGGAAAATAAATTCAAACACTAAATTGATACATTTAACTGAAGTTTCATGTGAAATATAAACACAGCCAAAACATGTTTCGGTTATATGTATTACTGTTGTATTCTTTGTCGCTTTTATACAAGAACAGTTTCCAAACATGAAATTTCAGGTCTTTTGTCAATTGTTGACTACGATCTTAATAGCTGTTCGACTTAACACGGTGTGCTTCGAGAGACTGCGTGCACATAAGAACACCTTCATCAAAGGTATCTCGATATAGATATATTACAAAATTAAAAAAAATTATTATATAAATTAAAAAAAAGGAAGAAAATATCTCAAATTAAAAACTTTGAAATATCTTGAGATAGTCATATAACATTTGTTTTCATGTAATTGATTTAGTTGTTATTTATAAATAAAATTAAAATATATAAATTACATTAAATATATATATATATATATATTATATTTATAAAAGTCTCACTAATGAAGATCAAGACTCACGTGTTCACTACATTGTTTTCTACCATTTACTATACTATTAGTCTATTACTAATGAGGACTTTGGAGGTAATACTATTTGGTATAAAATAAGTAACAGTGTACATTGTTTAATTCTATTTAATTATTAGAGATCCGTATCCTATGAATTTAAGATTTGATATTTAGACAATATATATATAGCTTATACAATTTTCTTGAAATTATGATTTAAAAAAGTAACGATTTCTCTATCAAGGACTTAAGGTATTCAAAAAACATCTTCCATTTTGATTTTGTGGCACAGAACTTAAAAGTCTCTTTTGTAAAAGTTCTCTACATTCTCTACATTTTGTCTAATTCTGTGATTTGCTAACTTTTTCTTTTTCTTTTTCGAACAGATAAATAATCGGTCTTCGACTGAAACGATGGCGCAATGGTATTTTCTCACCTCAGAACTATTCTTGTTAAAGCATGCTCTTGTCTCATGATTAGTCTATGCGATTTCATTACTAGTACTACATTCTATTTTCCAAGAAAAAAAACATTAATATTTCCATTTAGCTGACATAAATATTTACCAAAATCTATCGGACGTCAAACATTTGATGATTTCTGATACAAATTGAGCATAAGTTTCTTGGAAACTAAAATAAATATTATTTTGTATAAAGATGGGGAAATTTGAAGAAAAAAAAATCAGGTTTTCAAAATTTTGACAAAATTTAAGATGTGACTTAAAATTCAATTTAAGATGTTTAAAAACTTATTGTTTCATCGTAAATAAAAACAAAACACAACTATTTTACTATTTAATTTGACGATTATTCTTTATTTTTTAACTTAAAAGTAATATTTTCTCTGTTTTTGAAAGTATGATGTTTTAATTTTTTTCACACATATTAAAACATACTTTCATTATTATTTCTTTAACTAATTTTTATTTTTTATTACTATCTTAATATTACATTTCTTTTTCCAATTATCACATAGTAGATGATATCGCCTCACAATTTAGCAGATTTTAATAGGCAAAAATATAATTGGCTAGTTTTAACTTTAAGTTTGAAATTTTCCATGTATCGGCTAAAAAGTTTAAGGCAACCCGTGTTGGGTTGTTAAGAAAATTGGTTCGGTTCGATTTTCTATGCCACCTAAAATTCTGACTTCCCCTACGTTGTTTATATGTGTATGTGTAATGTGAACAAGACCCCGGCTAATTATTTTTTAATCCTCCTCCTTCTCTAGCGTGTTACGATATTTTATTTAAAATAGTTTCAGAACCAAATGGAAAACGTGAAACGAATTGATATAATGTATTTTTTTAATAGAAAAGCACACGTAACTCGTAACTACCAACTATACGTCAACATCTATTTATTACTAGTAAATTCTATTTCTCTCTCTCAATCACTCGCCAAGTTTCTGAAGCTCTTTGATTATTTTGCGCTCGAGAGATGGAAATAAGTGAGACCTCAAGAAAAAATTATGAACAAAAGCTAGATTACAAAACCGAAGGAAATGCGAGGGAGCCACTGAAAAGGATCAATAGAACTAGAGGAGGATCAAGAAGAACAAGTGAGAGAAGAGAGAGCGTGACTGATTTAGAAGCAGAGGAGACAAAAGGGTTTATGGATTTAGGTTTTGTTTTCACAGAGCAAGACTTGGATTCGGAGTTGCCGGAGATTCTTCCTGGCTTACGGACATTTCTCCACCGGAAAGAACAGAGCAAGACAGATTCTTCGGTGCCGAGACCATACTTGTCGGAGGCATGGGAATTTCAAGGTGATAAATGGAGAGAAAGAACAGAGAAAGATTCAATGGTTATAGATTTGAGAATGGCTAAGTTATGTGGTGAGACGAACATGAAGGATAGTCTTAGATGGTGGGCTCGTTCGGTAGCTTCCAGTCTCAAATGAGATCCATTCTTATTTTATTATCTCTTTTTGTATGAAATACTTCACATAAATCTTTAGTAACAATACAGTCTTGTCCTGTTCTAATCTTATTTTCATTATTTCATGATACATTGATTTAGTGAAAACATAGAAACAAGTAGTTGTCAGTAAAAAATCATCACTAGTAGAGCTATATTAAATTAGTGAAACATGTAAGAATGGTAAAAAAAGTTAGTTAAACAATGAGTGAGCTTACAAATCTTCTTACATATCTAAATCAGTTCATGGCTTGCACATAGAAAGTACAATACAAAACATTCTCCTAAAGATCTCCAGCTTTATGAAGAACAAGTTAAGAAAGTTCATAAAAATTTAATGAAGACAGTGTGATTATTGACAGTTAGCAATAGCAAAGAACTAATGAAGACAGTGTGATTATCACACTGCCTGTGAATCATTAAACTCATAACACACAACAGCTAAAGAAACATAGAGTCATGCTTTAAGACTTTCATCCTTCATTAACAGCTAAGCATACAAAAGTAGTGAACCAAGTGACGAAGACAAGAAAAAAATGGAACTTTGTATTTGCAGAGTTTGTGAATCTTTTCTCCGATCAATCACATATGTACTACTTTTTGATTTATTGGCGCAGAAGAATTACCGGGCAAATCTCCTTTGGCAGAGAACTCACGACAAAGCAATGCATAGAGAGATGCAAATGTCAAGTAATGGTTTCCTGCCAATAGAGATCTTGCCCTGTAATGCATTTTCACCCTTTGATATATCTCACCTCTCCACGATTATAACCTACAAATTCCATGTTTGTATTTATACAATCCTGGAAGCAAGCATATTCCACGGTACAATGCAATATACTGATCAGGTTTTATTCCGAGAATGATCTCTTCTCCATATTATTTTTCTAAGGAATATAATCTTTTACACCAGAAATTTTATGGTCGGACATTTTTAAAAGAAAGAGCAGCATACCAAAAATATTTCTGCCGGTATTCCACTTCTTCTGCGTAATAACAACGAAGTAAAATATTGTATATGTATCATTTTATTTCACAACAGTCTCTAGTTTTTTACAATAATGTATATTACATAGCCTGTTCTTGAACTTGTTGGTAATTCAAACCCACTGCCAACCGATTTATAAAACTGTAAGCTCTAATTTGTATCCCACTATATTATATTACATCTACCTTTTGTTAAATTTAGAACACCCAACGTAATTGTTTTTCTGCTTTCGGCTGATTCTTATTTCTTAAGACTAATTGAGATAGTTGTGGGCCTTGTGGCTTGAAAATACGTGCTTCAGAGTTCAGACCACTTGTTTTTGGTGGAGTTCTATAAGTAATTAATGAGAAGAAAATGAAAAATGCTTAATATGGAAAAAGGAAAAAGGGTGGTAAATAATTTACTATATAAAATAGAAAGTGATTCTTGAAATGGAAGATCCGTAGGAATCAACACAATAATAATCCATAAGTCTCTACAGGTGATATAACACATAAGTTTTTTCAGGCTTTCTCAACATGACATCTCAGCAAAAAAATAAACTAATAAAAATATTTTATTAATACAACTCATTTAAAAAAAAACTAACCAAAATTGAAATCTATAAGTAAGCCCAAAACTTATCTAAAAAACATTTTCACTGGGTTAAAAAAACTATTTTTAGCCCATTTAATTGTTTTGATAATACAAGCTATTCGATATCATTAATGGTTAATTCGTTCATTCTCCTCTTTCCATCCATTATTCATATACGCTGTATTAGTGATTAGTACATGAGAACTAGAATATTGATTTTAACCATTTGTTCGGTTAATATTAAAAGATGATGTATATGAATCCATTCTCTAATCTTGTATGCATATACTACAGTATGAGAATTATAAATATATTTTAAAATTCAAAATAATCATATTAATTAATAATTTTGTTTTAAAATAGCATTTTGCTTTATATAATTATAAAGGAGGATCAAATGGTAATTTAGTGCAGAAAATAAATTACATTTGCCATTAGCACGAAGGTACTTAAAAATGTATTGTTTTATTCTTACATATATATTTATAGTTAGTTAGCTAAAAAAATTTGATAGTAAATTATAATTCTGAAAAATAAAAAAATTAAGGATATACAAAGTTTATTCAGATTTAAAATATATAAATACATAACTTAAACTAAAAAAATAAATATAATACTCATCTATAAAATAAATATAATATGATGGAAAAACAAAATATCTCAGTTTTGACAAGAAATACGAATTCTTGGTTTTGATGGGCAATGTAATTTTTCTGTTTTTGATGGATAATACAATTTCTTGGTTTTCGCAAAAAAATACAGTTTTACAGTTTTTGTGGAAAAATATAATTCTACGATTTTGGCAGAAAATTGCAATTTCTTAGTTTGTCAGGAAAACACGATTTATCGATTCAACGAGAAAACAAAATTTCTCGGTTTTGGCGAGAATATGAGATTTTTTGGTTTTGGCAGGAATTGAGGTTTTCTCGGTTTTGGCGGAAAACTATGATTTTCAGTTTTGGTGGAAAAATAGAATTTCTCAGTTATGACGGAAAAATGCGAGACCTCGGGTTTGGTGGGAAAATGTGATTTTCGGTTTTGGTGGAAAAACAAAAATTTTTGATTTTGAAGGAAAAATAAAATATCTTGGTTTTTACTAGAAAATGTGATTTCTCTGTTTCGATAAAAAATACAACTTTTCAATTTTGACGGAAAAATACAATTTTTCGGTTTTGATGGGAAATGCAAATTTTCTGTATTTGACGAATAATGGGATTTCTTGGTTTTTGCAAAAAACACCATTTTTTCGCAGGAAAATATAATTTATCGGTTTTGGTAGGAAAACATGATTTTTTGTTTGATAAGAAATTGAAATTTATTTGTTTTGATGGGAATCTGCGATTTCTCGGAAAATGATTTTTTTTTGTTTAACGGAAAAATATAATTTTTAATTTTTTATTTAATAAATCTTTTTTTCAAAGTTGAATTTTAAGGAAGGATCAAGCTGCAATTTAGTGTAGAAAATAAATTATATTTATCATTAGCATAAATATACTTAAAAATATATTAATTTATTTTTATATATACATTTATAGTTAATTAATTAAACAAATTTGATAGTATATTATAATTTTGAAAAATAATAAAATTAAAGATATATAATGCATATTCAGATTTAAAACATATAAATACATAACTTAAAGTAATAAAAAATATATATAATATTCATTTATATTATAAAATAGCTTTATTATATTAAAAATATATATAAATTTTTTAAAAATATCCCGCAACATAGTGCGGATACATACCTAGTGTTCTTGTAATTTTACTAAGCTTCCAGGTGAAGACTCATAAAATGCAGAACCTCGAAACTGCAATTTTCTCTACAAAATATAATACTGTATACATATGAGAAAATTAAAGTACTTAACTTTATGCCACTCAATAAAGTTAATCAACTTTGAGAAAAGACCAAACTTCGAATTTCAATATATAAAAGTACATTAAAGTACTTGACTTTATAAATAGTCATTACTTTGAAGATCCCTTTGTTATTAATTTTTGTATAAAATAATATTAAAGTTAAATACAATAAAATTGACATGCTTTGTATCCTATTCTTGTATCACCTTTTAAGATTATAGATTTTGTTTGAACAATGACTCAAGACTGAAAGTTCTTAGTTAGCGGCATGTACTTACAGGATATTCTTAAGTATATCCAACAACACTGAAGATCATAACACTCATACATGAGGTTGTACCGTTTCAGTTCTAGGCCTCTTTTGTGAAAACGTATAGAAAATGTGGACATATGTATTTTGTTGTAGGGTTCAACCGTATTTCAGATATAAATTGATTTTTTCAAAGAATTTCTGACCCTTGAAACTAGCGAATGATGAGTGCATTCCCGAGTTTCTAAAAAAATAGGAAGAGCAGAACAAGAAGTGAGGAAGCAACTGAAGAAAGAAAAAGTAGGTTGGGTGTGTCTGATATGTATGTTTACTTTAGTTTGTTTTAATTATGTACTAGAAGCAAGAAGAAAACTGTATCTATTTCGTAATGTGTATTTCTGTGTGTTTTAATTATGAACTAGGATATTACCGCGTTATACACATATTTATTTATATTTAGATTATTATTTTAGTAAAATTATTTTAATTATAAATTAATATTTTAAATATAATATTTATTTTCAATATCATTTTGCTGTGATCATACATCTAAAAGATTTTAACGTATTTGAAATATGTATTATAGTTTAATTTAAAAAATTACTAACTTGATATATGTGAAGATTAATTGTCAATCTAAAACTTGATATTTATATATAATCTTATTACTGCTTACCAACTTTTAAACTACTATTAAAATTATTTTTATCTTAACTAAATTTGGTATATAGTTAAACTCAAAAGCTATAAGTTTTCTTTTTATTTAATTTAAAATAATTTTTTAATAAAAAATTATCAAACATATGACTACAATTAAAACACCTATATTTTGTTCCAATTAATTTAGATTTCTTTTCATTTCAATTGTGTTTGTGTAATGGATGTTTTTAATGAGCAGTCTTAAATACAAAACAACAATCAATGTTCAAAACTCTTTCAAATCCGTAAAAGCAATATTGTTCATAAAAATAAAAATAATATTTACATATTATATAAAATCATAATCATATTGATAAACTACATTTTTCGGTTTGGTCCCTAAAGCATCTGTAAACTATAGAAGTGTAAATAAATAAAGCAAGTAATATATATACAAATGCAGCATCATACTGACTCATTTTATTAAATAAAGTATGTCGAATTTTTTCAAAACTCAAAATGTGTAAAAGGTTCATTTGCATTTACATGTAATTTAACTTAGATATTTTTCACTACATATATATTTTGGTGAATTTTTATAGTTAAATTTATAATATATATTATATTAATTTTAAAAGATTTTCTTAACAAAAAAAACATATTAGTTTTTCTTAAATGTTGAATTTGTAAAGAAATTCTTTTTTGTTAATGTAGATGGCTAGAGAAATTTTTATGATATTTTTTTTTATATAAAAAATATATATTATTTTTAAATATGGAAGTGTAATATATTAATGTTTAATATAAAGTTATGCAAGTTTATTTTTATATACGCATGATTATAACGATAATTCATACTATACTGTAATTAATTTAATTTATGCCTAAAGTATTTAGCCAAAAAAATAACAACGAAGTAAAACATTGTATATATATATCAGTTCATTTCACTATAGTCTCGGTTCATATTTATAACATTAACATATCTATTGTAAGACAAAGAAGAGCAAAGCTTGCATCACAAGTCATTATCGGGTCCATGCTAAAAAACAAATAAACTAAACACAATCCAGGGACAATTTCTTGAGATTCCTGACAAATTTCTCTGATTTTATTTAAATTTTGGAATACGCACACACAAAAATAGATAAATTAAAATTGGTAAAAAAAAAGAAGAAGATACGGTCATGGAGATCGGCAACGACCGACGAACGAGAAAACAGAAGAACAGAAGCTTTCTGTTCTGGTGCGATTTGTTGACATGTAGCTATCTCCATACCCAATCTTCTTCATTAAGGTTTATGTCGTGGCTCTTCTCATCACAATCCCAATTTATTTATTGAAATTGCTTTTTTTTTTTTATGTTTCCCCTTCCTTCCTTTTTTTCTTGCCTTGCGTTTTACTCTTCCCATAAAAGATAAAATTCAGAAATTCCTCACCAACTCTGTTAGCTTCACTTAGAATTAATTTGTTCTGTTTGATTTTTTTTTTTAATTTTCTTTATTGGTTAAATTTCTGGCTCAATTGATTCATAATCTCGCTCCGTTCTTGATTGTTTCAATTACGTAGTTTATGAGAAGAGGGGCATAGATAAATGGGGAAACAAGGATCACCGAGAAGCCCTCGACCCGAAACGATAGATAAAGAAGAGAAAAATATTGGGAGGAGAAGTTTGGATTCTTTATCTGGAAATGATATCTTCATTGGTAGAAGAATATATGGAAGTGAAGTTTTCAAGGCTCAAGGATCTAAACATGATCAAAGCTGTGGCACTAGCAACAAGTTTAGTTACTCTTCGAAAAAGCAACATTCATGGCTTCGTAGGAACTTCAAGTCCATTATTCTGATGATCTCGGTCACAGGTTTCCTTTTATTTTTCGGCACCATTATGGTTTCGATCTTTCATTCAGATAGTACGGCCGTGGTGCAGGACATCTCAAGATTGAGCTACGAGACTCTTCATAAGGTTTGCAAATAATGATTCCTTTTTAAAAATCTTGATATATCCTCCATCGTTACTGCTTCTTACCATCATATTTATGTGTATGTCAAACGAAGAATGGAGATCAAGATGGTTCACCGGTGAAAATGTATAACCGTTTACTAAACTTAGCTTCAAATTCTCTTGCAAAGGTTAGTGAAAATGTAATAAGATTATATATTTTGTGTGTGTTTGAAACGTTGATAACCTTGTTCTATGTTGTGTTTACAAGGAATTATTCAAACCCGATACAACGAATTTCCGAGAAGAAAGATATTCAAAGTCATCATTACCACGGTGGAAGCCTTGTGCAGATAACAACAAAGCAATAGTGAGGTCTAGAGAATTAAGCAATGGTTACATCATGGTTAGTGCAAATGGTGGTCTTAATCAACAGCGCGTGGCTGTAAGTAAACAAAACTAAACTGTAGATAGTTTTAATTTCATCGAGAAAGTATGTTTATGTTTTAGTGATTATATTAGTTCCTTGCAGATCTGTAATGCTGTTGCTGTTGCTTCTCTCCTCAACGCGACTCTAGTTCTTCCTCAGTTTCTTTACAGCAATGTATGGAAAGATCCTAGGTATTTTAACTTCCTCATCAAGACTTCAAAAATTTATATAAATAATCACGTTTTGTTGATTCGAGTAAGTTGCAGCCAATTTGGTGATATATACCAAGAGGATCGTTTTATCGAGCATCTGAAAGATGAGGTGCATATAGTGAAGGAACTTCCTCAACATCTAAAATCTACAGATAGCAAGAATCTCAGCTTGGTGTGTTTTGTGTCTTTTGCATTATCTTTCTATTGGGATTAACTCGAATTAAAAAAAGCTCATAATGTTTATTTATTTCTTCTTAGGTTACTGATGCAGAGCTTGTAAAAGAGGCAAAGCCAGATGATTACATTGAACACGTTCTTCCTTTGCTAAAGAAGTATGGAATGGTTCATCTTTTTGGATATGGGAATCGCCTCGGTTTTGATCCGTTGCCTTTTGATGTTCAGGTACAATAAAATATAATAGGATGCATATACTTAGAAGATTCTGGTTGCATGGTTCTTGGAAATGATATGTGTTTGTTCTTCACTTTACAGAGATTACGATGTAAGTGCAACTTTCACGCGCTGAAATTCGCGCCCAAGATTCAAGAAGCAGGATCTCTGTTGGTGAAACGGATAAGAAGATATGAAGCAACGCGTAGCAAACTGGATGAAGCATTGCTTGGAGAATCCATGGCGAAAGATTCTGTTAAAGGAGATGAGGAACCATTGAAGTATCTTGCTTTACATCTAAGGTTTGAAGAGGACATGGTTGCTTACTCTCTATGTGATTTTGGAGGAGGAGAAACCGAACGTAAAGAGCTTCAAGCGTACCGAGAAGAACATTTCCCTCTTCTCCTCAAACGTTTAAAGAAATCTAAGTAAATAAACTAAACAAACTTCAATGTTTGATGAAAACGAATCAAATCTTGTTGAGTTTCTCTCTCTCTCTGTTTCTTCTCAGGTCTGTTTCTCCACAAGAGTTGAGGAAAACAGGAAAGTGTCCATTAACACCAGAGGAAGCAACTCTGGTTCTTGCTGGTCTTGGATTCAAGAGAGGAACATACATATACTTAGCTGGATCTCAAATCTATGGAGGCCCTTCTCGTATGCTTCCATTAACAACTCTTTACCCAAATCTCGTGACCAAAGAAACTCTCCTTACACCACAAGAACTCGCGCCATTCAAGAACTTCTCTTCTCAGGTAAAAAGTTTTTAACAATCTTAAAGGGTCTTTCTCTGTTTTTGTTTTTGCGCAAACTTCATTTCGATATTTTGGACTCTGTTTTGCAGCTAGCTGCACTGGATTTCATAGCTTGTGCAGCTTCAGACGTGTTTGCAATGACTGATTCCGGGAGTCAACTGTCATCCTTAGTCTCTGGATTTAGAACATACTATGGCAACGGTCACGCACCAACGTTGAGGCCTAACAAGAAGAGGCTTGCAGCGATTCTATCAGACAGTGAAACGATAAAGTGGAAGACATTTGAAGAACGCGTGAGAAAAATGGTAGAGGAAGGTCACAAAGTTCGGGTTAGGCCTTATGGACGAAGTGTCTATAGACAACCGAAATGTCCCGAGTGTATGTGTAAATTTTGATCCTTGAAACTAAAGCTTTAGTGTTCTTTTTGGGTGGTCTGAAAATTTTCGACTTTTTTTGTAAGTACAAAATAGAATGAAGACACTGTATATCATTGATTGTAAGTTTGTAATCACTATGAAACATTGAAATGTGTTGAACTAGAACCTCTTTAGAATCTCTTGCTACAAGCGTTACAACATCAAAATGGCATCGTTTGTTGGCTCTGTCTCAACTTCTTCTCTCCAATTTCCTCTCTGCAGATCTTCTTCCTTCCACCTCTCGCCTCCGTTGTTGCCTGTACAGTTCAGATCAAAACCAAATGCTTAGGTTCATAATGAAAATGGAAAATGAGAGATTTAAACTTCCAAAAGAACTGTTTATAGAGACATTGCAAAATCCAGACAATCAAATGATATTTTCTCATGACTAATCGACTGAGCAGTAGCTCAAGATTCTTATAATTTTATGAATCGAAGAATAGAGAATACAACTTACGCGAAAGCTGAGTATCCAGAACCAGCACTTGAAGCCGATACAAGAGCTGCACTAGACCGGATTGAGGATAGGGAATCCTGAGTCGCAGCTGGTAGAGATGGATTCTTCACGTCTCCATCAACCTGATATAACCAAAAACGCATAAAAAAAAAAAAAAAATCAGCTAAGAACTAAACATGCCAAAATCTTCTGATAATCTCATTCTAAACATTTGAATCTGATCAAATACCTTATCCCATTTCGATTTCTTGATCGGCCTACCATCACGAGCAGCGACTTCGGTTGGTATGGAGGGCAGTCCACTAGTAGCTAAAGCTGGAATGCCTGAAAATTCCGAAAACCCATCAAATCTTGCAGAGGTGTCACTAAGATAAATAAAAAACCAAACTGAGACCTTTCGTCATTAATTCTCTGGGGCTCAAACACACCTGGGATGGGGATGTTAGGCTTTTGAGCAGCGAAAACAGTAGCAGGTTGAGTACCGACAGAAACAAAGTCAAGCTTTTGGTTCTTCTTGCTTTCTTGTTCCTTCCTTTCCCTCTCGTTCTTCATGTCAACTTCTGCAATTTAACACACTAAAAAAGATCACTATAAATCAGAAGAAAAATGCAGTACGCAGACTATATTAAAATGACTAAATGAGTGCATGATACTGGAACAAGAGTATCAAAAACATGGAAAAATGATATCAAATGTGCTTCGTACTGAGACGAGAGTCTTTAAGAAGTATAAAAACAAAAGAAATAAATGCAGTTTGCTCTTAATTCCTCTTGCAATCAAACAAAGATAAAAGGAAGCATAGATACCTATTGCATCACAGAAGTCACTTGGGTCATACCCATTGGGGTCGAATACATCTTTACTGAAGCAAGAACCAGTCTGATCAATATCTTGATAACTCACTGCGTGCACCAAGAAGTCTGGATTCCTGTATTCCTTTCTATTACGCACTTCGCTATTGAAACTCTTCCCCATCTTCTTCAAGCTCAGAAACTTATCTATCTTCCTCTGCAATCACATCCAAGATAGTAGGCAAACTTGTTAAGTAAAATCCCTAAAAATGTATCACACCAAGTTCTCACTGAATCACAAACTAATCAGAGCTCATAGGAATGTGAAGCGTTCTTGCCTTTGTTCATGTCTATAAACTTCTTCAACGATAATTCAATTCAGTGCAAAAACCTTTCGATCTAGTCCAAATATCATTGCAAATCGACCCAAAACGCAAAAACAAATCGGGAACTTACTTGAAGCTCCTCCGAGCACTTCTCTCTCGGTGGCGGCGGTAGAAACTGATCCAACAACGTATCGGAACTTTCCCCTGACGCATCATCAGCTCTCTCACCATCCGCAATCCCAGACTCATCAATCGTTCGACTTGGCCAGTCGGGTCTCGATGATTCGTCGTTGTCGAGTGACCTAGGCGTCGCGTGTGCGCTAGAAGCTCCACCATCTAGGACCTTAGGCGTTCTAGAATCTTCTCCTCTCCCTCTCTCTTCATCCATGTAATTAGCGTCTTCTAGCTGATCCTCATCAATAATTCGTTCACCTTCTTCCTTATTTCTCTGCTCTTCTTCTTCTTCTTCCTCTTCCTCGGCGTCTTCCATCTCTTCGTCATCCTCATCACTGTAAACGGACAGTAAAGCGATTCCTTCAGAGTGCTTCTTCGGAGCCATAAGAATTCACTCAGATCAATTCGAGACTATGATTACCGGAATTCGAATCCGATTACAAGAACAGATTAGATTTGAGGGAAGAAGAAAAAGTAAATTGCTGATTTTTTAGGGTTCTTCCAAAATTGTTTGCAATTTGAATTGCAACCCGAAGTTAGATCCGCCGAATCAGAACCCAGTGGGGGGCTGTTATGTCTTCTCAAAACGACGTAGTTTTACGAGCTGGATCGCTTACTTACTAGTATATGAATTGGGTTCACAGAACCCATTACTAATTGGATTTCGATTAGTTATTTATTAGACTTAAAAGCCCAACTAGTAAAGGTGCCGCGAAATTCAATGGAATTTGAGTGAGAAATCATTTGAAAATATCTTGTTTTTAAAACAGTTCATTACTTTTATGATGCATGATTAGTGTGCCTATAGCTCTTAAGATAGTATAGGTTGTACTATATCTATGTAGTGTGAATAATCCTGATTACTAACCATTACGTAAGGTTTGAGTTTATGAATAGTGTAAACACATTAGAAATCCAAGATAAATGTAATACGATACAATTTGATCTTCATATCTTATTACATATCTATCATCTTAACCTGATAACAACATACAATGAAACGAATGTAGTTCAAAGTTGGTCGTGCTTGCATTTTGAAATGACATGCTTTAAAAAAAAAGGGCAATCGGCAAGGTATAATTTGTAATGGGAACTCATTATAACTTTAGAATGCAATTAAAACAATATAATTATAATCTTACTAAATGTGTACCATAGATTAACTTATGATCTTTAAACACAACATATTTTAGGATGTGGTTCGTTTCAAAATAATAACGGATTGGCAGTGATAATAATATATAGTAACGGAGAAAATTATGAACAGTCGTGTCACGTATATAAGCTCCAACCTTTCTGTGAAAAGCCACGCAAATTATAAAATCATTTGAACCTTTATTAAACCAATTAGTTAAGAAAGCCTTTTTGATTTAATTTAATCTCCATTAAACTCACTAAAGTCATGATAATGTCACGCCTAGAAGGTTCTTTCTGCCCCTTTCTTAAAAAAAAATGTTAACAGTCGGTTAGAGTACTATTGACTCTGTAGTTGCTTATGTGTTCTTCCTTTTGCTTATGGATATGGTTAAATAATTGGCAATTCAAGGAGAGTGTTGTTTTGAGACATTCAAGTAGTCAAACCATATGCACACAAGCTAATCAACAAGAACCAGTTTTACCTCTATCCGATTAATGTTTTGTTTTTCCAGTTCAAACATATATATATCTTTATTGTTGATGTTAATATCTTTCTTTTGTACTATAACATCTAAATGCTCCAAATTCTCAAAAGTTAATGTGTTGGTTATAAAAACCGAAGTTTTGGTCGTAATAGTTGAGTCTCTGGAGTAGTTTCTACTAGATGATATTTCAACTAATTGGTTTATATTTCATTAAAACTTAAACTAATGTGGCAAATATATCCCTTTAACAAAATTTGTTGTGACCCTTTTTGTTATCAATGTCGAAACGAAAACTTCGACATAGGAATTGAAAACATGACAGCTAAGAATTATATTTAGAAAGTAGAAAACCAATACTGAAATCATTTCGTGACCACGAAGAATTTATATATAACTGGATAATAATATTTTGTTAAAGGATTTGGAAATAATATTATTTGAAAGAACTGGAACTTATAAGTTAAGTAGAAGAAATAGAACTTGGATTTGGTCGGCAACGTGGAGTCCACGAACTCACGTAAGCACAAACTACTCAGCAACAGCTTGGTTCCCACAAATACCATTCGTAGATTTCGAATTTCATATCGTTAATATTATAAATGACGCGACGCAAATAGGATAAGATAAGCTGAGAAATGGGATAGCGAAAGAGAAGAAGAGAGCAAGTCCAAAACCAGTAAAGCGTGACCGTGTCGTGCGATGGTCGATCTATGTATCCGTGATCTGCTGATCAGTCAGATCCTCTATACTGCTGATAAGTTATATCTATTATCTGGCAGTCGTGAATTTCTAATATTGGGTTTTATATTTTTAATATAGTTTTGATCGTTAAAACTTTTTATTAAATTTACTTACATAGGTTTCCAAACTCCTAACTAGAAAAAATAATCGAAACATTTCACTTTTGCATATCCATTTCTGATGCATGAAACATTGTTAAAAAAAAAATTAAAGAATAAAAGCGATACACATTCCAATCTTCATTTAAATATTTGGAGAAAGTTGGTACAAAACAACAAGTCAAAATTTGAATGGCGCAAAAAGATAATATTTGTCTGCACTTGGAGACAAAATGAATTACAAGAAATGGACATCTCACATTAACCTATTATTTCTTTCTGCCAACAAGACAACAACCGTTTTATACAAACTAAGAGGAATACATAATGGAATACAAGATTAAATCTACTTCCTTCTGAAATGATAAGAACCTACCTCTTCGTTACCCAGTAACCAAAGCTTCAAAACTCAGTAAGACAGAATCTATAGATCCGCATAAACTTTGTGAGTGCAGTTAGATCGATCACAGCAGGACACCACCAAAGGAACGCCCACCTCTCTCAGTTTGTATAATATTAATTCAGACAACAACCGTTTTATTTTTATATAACAGAAATTCTAGATGCTTTCTTTATTGGATATATCTAATACAGTAATTCATTATAACACGTGTAAATGTGCTGGCAAAAACAATGGTGTCATTATAAATCCGACGTCAAATTGATAATATAAAATGTTTCGAATAAATACGATTAGACCATTTCAAATTAGCAAGCGCGTATATAAAAAATAATTCAAACCAAAACCGTTATAAAAACAAGACAAAATTAGGTGAAGTAGGCCAACATTAACAATTTTAACAACCGGCCAAAACAACCAAACTCTATTTTCTTTTCGTTCTGTTTCATTTCGCTTTTTTGGTCGTTTTCACGTTTGGCCAACCAACCAACCAAAGAGACTCAAGCGGATGAAACAAACCAACCAAAACCCCAAATTACAAAAAAAAGAAAGAAAGGAAACCACAAACCAATCAAAACATCCTTAGTCACGGATGGCTCAAGCCTTGGCTCCACCACTAACAGTGATCACCACCGTCGTCCCAGACCCGCCGCAGCCTCCACCACCACCGCAGCAAAGGCCGTATGCTCTGCAATACGTGACGGATCTTCTTGGCCGGATCGGTATCAAAGACACAGACAAAGATGGCAACATTAGCCCACAGAGTCCGATGAGCCCTAGGAGCCCTCGAAACTCTATTCTCATGGGGAAGTACGAGCTAGGGAAGCTTCTCGGCCACGGAACCTTTGCTAAGGTCTATTTAGCCCAAAACATCAAATCAGGAGAAAACGTCGCCATTAAAGTCATCGACAAGGAGAAGATTATGAAGAGCGGTTTGGTTTCTCACATTAAACGGGAGATCTCGATCCTCCGCCGCGTCCGTCACCCTTACATCGTGCATCTATTCGAGGTTATGGCGACCAAGACGAAGATTTACTTCGTGATGGAGTACGTTCGAGGCGGTGAGTTATTCAACACGGTGGCTAAAGGGCGTTTGCCGGAGGAAACAGCTCGGAAATATTTCCAGCAGCTGATCTCCTCTGTCTCGTTCTGCCACGGACGCGGCGTTTACCACCGCGACCTCAAACCGGAGAATCTGCTTTTAGACGATAAAGGGAACCTTAAAGTCTCCGACTTTGGTCTCAGCGCGGTGGCAGAGCAGCTCCGGCAGGACGGGCTCTGCCACACGTTCTGCGGGACTCCAGCTTATCTTGCGCCGGAGGTTTTGACTCGGAAAGGGTACGACGCAGCGAAAGCCGATGTTTGGTCTTGTGGAGTGATCCTATTCGTGTTGATGGCTGGTTACATTCCGTTTTACGACAAGAACATTATGGCCATGTACAAGAAGATTTACAAAGGGGAGTTTCGATGTCCTCGTTGGTTTTCGTCGGATCTTGTTCGGCTACTGACTCGGCTTCTCGACACGAATCCGGATACTCGGATCACGATACCGGAGATCATGAAGAATAGATGGTTCAAGAAAGGATTCAAACATGTGAAATTCTACATCGAAGACGATAAGTTATGTAGGGAAGATACGGATGAGGAGGAAGAGTCGTGTTCATCGGGTCGGTCTTCGACGGTTTCAGAGGGCGACGCGGAGTTCGATGTGAGGCGGGTCGGGTCAATGCCGAGACCCATGAGCTTAAACGCGTTTGACATTATATCTTTCTCTTCCGGGTTTGATCTGTCTGGTTTGTTTGAGGAAGGAGGAGAAGGGACGAGGTTTCTGTCAGGTGCTCCTGTTTCAAAGATCATATCGAAACTGGAGGAGATTGCGAAGGTTGTGAGTTTCACGGTGAGGAAGAAGGAATGGAGTTTGAGGTTAGAAGGCTGTAGAGAAGGAGCAAACGGACCATTGACAATTGGAGCTGAGATATTCGAGCTGACGCCATCTCTTGTGGTGGTGGAGGTGAAGAAGAAAGGAGGAAACAGAGAAGAGTATGAAGAGTTCTGCAACAAGGAACTCAGACCGGAGCTAGAGAAACTAATGCACGAAAAAGCAGCAGAAGAAGAAGAAGTTGTAGTAGAAGAAGAAGCATTGTATTTGCCATCTGATACTGAATAGTTAAACGAGGAAGGCTGAGAACAAGAATCCATGAATCATTACATTCTTGTGTTAATAACTACTGATTTTTATTCATTATTCTTGTTCTATGCTTTATGTTGGGGATTTCTGTGATGATAGTGCATTATTGGGAGATTACGAAGATCTTTAAGATTTACGTCAATCTAAGATATCTCCGAAATCTCCCAGTGTGTGTGTGTGTGTATATATGTGTTATTGTAATGTGAGTGATAGGAAGATGAGAGAAGGCAAAGATGCAAAAGAGGAGTGAGATATGTGGAGTAATTAGTCGTTTTTGCTGGTTATTATAGGGCCAGTTTTTGGTTAATTTCTCATATAACCTGTATATATATACATGTATGTAAAACAAGAGACGAGCTTAATGGAAAATCTTTCTCGGCCTTCCCTTATTTAACTGTTTTGTGCATCCTAAGCTATAATATGTGCTTGTATACTCCATGAGCTTTCATAAAAACTGGATTTTTTATAAATTTACATGTAATGTTTTGTAGTGATCTTTGTGACATTTTTCATCAGATGCAAAGAAAAAAAAGGAGAGATTAATCTGCTTTTGTTAATAAAACCTGATGATTTTGGGGAGGTCACATCTTGAGAAGCTTCAATCTCTTATTGAAGAGATGTATGAGCAACCAGTTCCTGCAAAAAAAGATGAAGTAAACACCAAAGATGGGGTCATATATCTATACATAGCTTATGTTTATTCTTGCTTGCGTATTCTGAATGTGAAAACATGAGATGCTTACTTCGGAATATCGGATATGGTCTCTGTGCATGTTTGAAGTCTTAACAATAGTTTCCCACTTGGTAACATTCTTGGAGTTTTCTTCAAGATCCTGCTTTTGTGGGCGGAACGGATATCTACGTGAAGTGATCTCAGACGTTGCTGAAGGCATATTATGCAAAAGCCAAGATTCAGAAGGCTTTTTTGGCGACGGTGGTGCAAGACGACACCGGTCAGGACCACTATTGATCTCTCCTAACTCATCTCCCTTCACAATAGCTTCGCGGTCGAGATTGGCATCTGGTTTGTTTCCTGCCATGTCTGCTTCCCTTGGAGTGATCACGACATTTGAGTTTTGCTGATCGTTCGTCGTGGGAGAATTCTCCGTGTCGACATATACTGTCTTCTCCAAGAGAGAAGAGCTGCTCGAACCGTTGCTTTTTGGGCAGAGTAGTTCCTCAGACCTGCTTATGTTTCTAATATGCTTGTTCAACCTGTTAGCTCTCAGGCTCTCTGTTTCCTTACGAGTGTCAGGGAAACACGCAGGGTGAAACGGAGAAGAACTGTTTCCTGCACTGCGATATGGTGAGATAGATCTATAGTGTCGATAAGGAGATGAAGACCTATTTGCAGCAGAAGTCAGGTTTGGTTCAGAGTTGAACTTCTTCCCAACGCTTGGATGAACAACTTTACCACCCAGCTTTTGCTTAGAAACTGAATCAAGAGCCAGCTGAAAAATGAACAAGAGGTAATATAGTCAGCGAGTGTCTAATCAAATCCATAAGAAGCTAATAGCAGTTGAAGGGGAGGAGTCTAAAGCTGGAACCTTTTTAACAAATTGGAACCGAGATTTGAGTTGAGCAACCTTGCTTGACTTCTCTTGATCATGACTCAGGGATGATGTTATTGGAGAGTTGTGTTTGGCTTTAAAACCAGGCACTGTGTTCAGCATCCCTAGAGATTCTTTAAAGCACAACTGTGGCAACATCCCACAACCTCTCTTTGCGTACTCAGAAACTTCATCACCTTCATCATCATCCTCCTCCTCGCTTTCTTCATCATCCATGTCTTGGTGGTAATAGTAAGGTGAGACTATAGACTCATCATACCTATTAGAAGCTTGCCGCTTCTCCTCGGGTACTAAATCTCTTACCTGTATCGTTGGCTCAGACATAAAACTCGATGGTTTCCGATTCGAAGCATAATGAGGCTGCTCCACAGTCATTGCTTTAGCAGCTGGTAAGAAACGGCTCATCATGAAATCTCGAGACTGGCGATCCTCAGAACGGTTTAGTGCTTTCTTCGTCTCAGCAACACCATATCCACTCAAACCACTCACGCTTTGGTCCATAGTAATTGAGTCCTTTAGAGAGAGTGTATCACGGGCATCAGAAAACACATCATCTTCATCCTCTGGCTCTTCTTCAACCTGTTTACCCTTTGAACTCTGCAATCTTGACATGTTTCCATCAATGGCTTTCTCCACAGGACACTTGAGGGTATCAGTCACTTTCCCCGGTGGAAGACATGGCGTGAAGACTTGTTGCGTCGGATCAGAGACTTCTTGAGGTCTGAAATCGTTTCCTTTTAATCTCCCAGGAGCTTGCTCCCATGTGAAAGGAACAGAGGCAGCTTCAGTAACCTGGTCTAAACCCATCTCTGGGACAAGAACTGGAACACAAGATACATCAGTGAAGTTGTTTGTCTTGTTTCTGCGCACAGAGACTGCTGTCTTGTGCATCCGCCTCGTTGAAAGAAGAGGTGCGTTGAAGTTTAGTTTCCTCTCCGCCATAGGAACTGAAAGGAAGTGGCTCACAGACCTATGAAACTCATTAATGGAAACAGATGTGGATAATAAGCCTTTTGATACTGTATATTCCACTTCTCTAGAAACAAATCTGCAAAAACAAATTCAAACATAATAATAGGTTTCAGAAACTATCCATACAAAAAAAACAAATAATAATCATATAGATTATCTCTCATCTCTCTTTGGATTATCTGAAGAAGGTAGTAGAAACTAGAAACAAACAAAAAGAGAAGACCTCTGCGTGAACTTTTTTCAATTAATAATAATAATAAATACGCACACCGCTAAAGAGATTGGGGATGAAATTATTGGGTATTGGAATCTAGTCATGACATTATCACATAATCATATATCCAACTCAATTCAAACCCGTGATATCAATCATGGCGACAGTTAAAAAGTACCACACAAAACCCCAGAATTTGAAAACTCCATGGATTAAATCTCTACTCCAGAAATGAAGAGCCATGTGCAAAGAGTGAAATGCAGAGTTTAAGCAATCACACTCCGGAAAAAATAAAAAAAATTCAATCGGTAATCAACTAATCGATTGATCCTACAATCAAAAGCTAAACTCGTAGAATCTTATCGATCAATGTTTCCGGAAAGAAAAAGCAGAGATCGGAAGAAGCAAGAGTGGGATAGAAACTAACTGGAAAGTGCGAGAGAGAGAGAGAGAGAGAGAGAGTCGTCGGTGTAGTCTGCTTGAAGTAATCGAATCGTTGCTCACGCTATGAGATAGAAGAGAGGAAGAGGCTCTGAGACTTAAAAAAAGAGTACAGAGACTTGAGTAAGCGTAACAGAGAGAGAAAAGAGAAGGTAAGCTTTTTGAGAATGTGCCGTGAAGATGAAGGAGAGACGAAGATGGGGACTCGTGGAAGAGGAGAAGGTTTATTAGTCACGAGATGATTTAAAGTGCATTTGGGGTTTGGACAGTTGCTACTCTTCTTCTTCGCCTTTACTATTATTATGCTCTCCTCATTTGATTCATTTATTTTGTACTATTTGGTCAAACCTCTATTGACATTAATACATGTCGGTTGTTTTATGAAACTCAACCGAACCAAACCAAATCAAACCAGGTTATACTTATAAATTAAACAAAATTGGAAATAGTTTTTTTTTTTTTTAAATACTTTCTTTTTTAAATAAAAATTGTTTTCTAAACTAAAACATCATTTATTGTCTACTACACACAAATTAAGCCCAAAAAAAAAGTTTTAGAATATAAAATATTCACACAAACAAAAAGTTCACTGGCCACCGAATACAACTTGGCCTTTCTGATTTTTTATCTACTTGCATTTTTGTGGAATAATTTAAGGTGTGGACCGACACATTAAAGAAACGATGAGAAGCAAATAATTTTCATTTCAGGCGAACCAAATCAATCTATCGTTTTCTATCATTTTTAGTTCTATAATATTTAATTATATCGTTTGAGACAGTTACGAAATAATAATAACTCCTGAATGAACAAACAATCTAACACCAACTTTTAGTTTATCTTTTGCACAAAATGAATGACGAAAAAGACGTTTTCGTCACTCTTTAGTTTTTTTCCACTATTATACAATCCAATCACTCAAAATCAATCTGCTTAGACTATTTCGTTCAGACTTATAATCAAAACTGTAAAAGTGGAAAGCTATTATCATTATGCGGTGAAATCACATCCCAAACTGCAATTAACAAATAGAAAACTAGAAAGTAACGAAATCTGACAAATCATAACTAAGATAACATCCAAAGGTGAGCCAAAAATTAAAGTGTTTTAACATTAAGCAGAAAGACAGGGAGCGAAGAAATCAGATCGTTTTGACAGAAAAAAAAAAACAAAAGAAAGATTATTTCAGCTTAGCTCTGCTCTTGAGCTTCTGCAGCTTCCTTCTCTTCATTGGCGGCAGCCATCAATTCATCAAACTTCTCAGACTTGGCGAGCGTTATCTCAATCTACAAGTCGTGAAGCAACATAATTAAGCTATCAACGCAGGCAGTTTCCCACAAGATAAATCATTGAATGAAAATCTAGAGTTATTCCCAATCTTTAGCAATTTTATAACATTTGAAACTATACCTTAGCTTTCTGCACAGGACGTCCCCTTGAATCGTCTTTGATATCCACAGTCGAGGTCATGATCTCTATAAGAATGAAACAATTTCCCAATGAGCAAAACTTAGTCACATTGAATCTTTCAAAATCTCTTGCAACACTTGCTCATTCAAGATATGAGAAGAGCTTACTCTTTTCAACAGCAAAGCCATTGTTCTTCAATATCTCAGCGACGGTAACCACAGTAGCGATAGCTGCACAGTTAAAGTTTGATGAGAAACCAGAATACTCTCTTCGAATAACAAAAAAAAAAGGCTCATACATGACAACAAGGTAAAGATGAAGATTCTAAATCTCATGACAATAAATGAAAATTTGCTATTGTGGAAACTTTGAATTTAATGAACTCAGTTTACATTGCTTAAAACCATTCATTAGATTCTGATATATACACAAAGATCATAAAAAGAGAGAAGCAAATAACATTACCCATTCCGAGTGCAGATAATTCGACATCAGTGTACTGCTGCATGTACCTCTGTGAAAAAACCAAAGAAGGTCAACAATATTAAACACGTTTAATCACTCTAAAGAGCAAAAACACTTGGTAAATCTAAGGAGTGAACATTCATAAATCCAAGATACAAGAGAGAGTCGCATAACAACACAGAGCAGCATCAATAAACAGTTTCAAATGTTACCATTTACAGAAATCTATCATAAATGTCTGTACAAGATAGTATAAATTTCAATTTTATTAGCACAAGATCATAGTATATATAGATAAAAATCAGATGAGCAATACCAGATATAGAGAAATCAACAGTCACAGTTCGAATCCATAGATTTCAAGCTTAAAATAGATTCTACAGCAATCGATTTTAACGGGTTTTATACCTTCGCGAGATTGACGTAGAAGAACAACGGTTTCTTAGTGTTGGAAACCTGAATCCGATTCTTTTTCTGGTTATCAACGGCCAAGTTCATGTTGTTCACTCCTTCCGTGATCTCTTCCATGGTTACTAGCTCGGAATAATAACTTCTCCTCTGAAAAATAAATTTTCTCTCCCACTCTGTCTCAGAAACGATGAAATTGATAGAAAGAGACGATGAAGTTTCTCCGTGAGAACCAAACCCCAAAAAACCCTAACTCGGAAATCTAAACGACACCGTCTCACGAAGCCTCGAGAATAATAGATTGGGCTGAGTTCCGGCCCAAACGGCCTGCTAAGAAAGGCGGAGAATTTTAGTGAAAATAAATGGAAATATTGAAAAATAAAAATTCGCTGTGAGCAGAATCGGCGTTATCCGATCAGATCATTGAATCTTGGAGAAGATTCAAATCAAGCCTTCGATTGATTTCAAACACTCGCCGGAGAAGCCATGCCGGTGTTCAAGGCGCCGTTCAACGGCTACTCAGTGAAATTCAGTCCCTTCTACGAGTCACGCCTCGCCGTCGCCACTGCTCAGAACTTTGGAATCCTCGGAAATGGCCGGATCCACGTGCTCGAGCTCTCTCCTGGAGCTCCCGGCGTCACCGAATCCATCGCGTTCGATACAGCCGACGCAGTATACGACGTCTGTTGGTCGGAATCTCATGACTCTGTACTCGTCGCCGCCATCGGTGACGGCTCCGTGAAGATTTACGACACAGCTCTCCCTCCCCAATCTAATCCGATTCGATCTTTCCAGGAGCACGCGCGTGAGGTCCACTCCGTAGATTACAATCCCACTCGCCGGGATTCCTTTCTCACGGCGTCGTGGGACGACACGGTGAAGCTCTGGGCCATGGATCGTCCCGCGAGCATCAGGACTTTCAAGGAACACGCGTATTGCGTTTACCAAGCGGTTTGGAACCCTAAACACGGCGATGTGTTCGCCTCTGCCTCCGGAGACTGTACCCTGAGGATTTGGGATGTCAGAGAACCAGGATCCACCATGATCATCCCTGCTCACGACTTCGAGATACTGTCCTGTGACTGGAACAAGTACGACGATTGCATTTTAGCTACTTCTTCGGTGGACAAGACGATCAAGGTATGGGATGTGCGGAGTTACAGAGCTCCTTTGGCTGTGCTCAATGGCCATGGATATGCGGTGAGGAAGGTGAAATTCTCGCCGCACCGGAGGAATATGATTGCTTCTTGCTCCTACGATATGACTGTCTGCCTTTGGGACTACATGGTGGAGGATGCTCTGGTGGGTCGTTATGATCATCATACTGAGTTTGCTGTTGGCATCGACATGAGTGTTCTCGTTGAAGGTTTAATGGCGAGCACAGGTTGGGACGAGCTTGTCTACGTGTGGCAGCAAGGGATGGATCCGAGAGCGAGTTGAAATAAGTTAAGTGTCTGTGATCAAAAAAACTGTTTCCTCTTTATTTATTGTGGAATTGGTTTAGTTTTGTTAGTCGGAATAAATTTGGGATCTTTTGCATAAAAAGCAATGTAATTGATGGAAATTTCGTATATGAACAAGAAGGTATTTCCTTTTGAGTTGTGATCGATGATAATGGATAGACTTGCTCCTGTTCTAGTGTATCCATTAGCTTTGTTACAAGAAGTGCTGATCGAAACACTAGCTTACTTTTCTGTGGAGCTGGCATAATGATATGAAGTAATCAAAAACAGAGTTCAAAATCTTGATCAGAACAATGTAATTGCTAGCAATGTTGCAAACCCAAAGTGATATTGCAAGTGATAAGCTCCTCGTTTGATTATGAGTGTGTAGTTATTGTACTATCTTAAATTCTACTTAGTTCAACAGGATATGCACTCTGAAGAAGATTATGGAGATATTGTGAAACTTGTAGCTTCTGGCCTACCATGTATTATCGTCTTTACATTGTGATATAAGATTGGAATCATTCCAACTTATGATCAAGAGAACTCCAAGCTTATTGTGCAGAAATGTGGGATGAAGTCGGATTGGAGGTGGAAATAGTGTTGATTGACTCGCTCAACCGGTGGCATGACTGACTCGCTCAGTCGGTGGGATGGCTGATTCACTCAGCCGTTGGAACTAGCCTTGTCTGAATCACACAAACAAATCTATTCCACGAATCAATAGATAACAAATGAATCACTCAATTGAATCTAAAGACAAGTTGTTTAAACAAAGAACAATCTTTGAATAAAAAGAACAAAAGTTTTATATTTTCTTAGATAAAAGTGGTTGTTCTACAAATGAAACAGCAATGAGCTTATATAGGCTCAGTACACGTCCTAGGTAATAACTCTAAAGAGAGAATTATGCAAAAATCAAAGAAAGATAAAAAAAAAGAATGATTAAAGGGATTTTTAACCCATTTGATGAGTGATGGGGGGATTGGCTAGAATCAAGGGATTATTTGCTGACTTTGTATCTGGATGGCTTGAGGGTGTAGGTTAGCTTCTGTGGGACGATTTTCCTTCTCAAATAGTCATTCAAAAGGCTGATGTCTTGGCTAAAAAGTAGTTGTTGTGATTTGAATGAAATCTGCTCCAAATAAGGCAAGTTGGTCAATGGTGAGATCCGCCTGATCCTTTGGTTGCTGGTGCTGGGAACAGTTATAGCTGACTCTCCTGATTGGTGTATTACCTCTCCTGAATGGTTTGATGCTTCTCTTGGTCGCCAAAGTTTGGTTTGCTAGTGATTAAACTCGCCAGCTCCCAAATAAGGCAAGCAGAGCATCCTCCGGTTTAGAAGTTGAATAACTTTTAAACCATAATGAATTTTGGCATGAAACCATTTTTTCTCGGTTCTCTGATGAATCAAGTTTCCAAAACATCTGGGATCGTTGCTTGGTTCGTCTTGGTTTGGCCGGAATAATTTTATTAGTACTCGCATATCTTCATCGGGTCCATTGAAGATCTTCCAACTTGTATCTTCAATATCTTCTTCATATGAATTCCTTTTTGGGTGATTCTTCTTAGTGATGAACTCTGAATGAGTTGAGTATGCTCTCCAAGTGTTGGTTGACCTTGAATGTTTGATATCAACCTCCATTTGGGCTGAACTTCACTCGAATGCCTCTTTAGCTCTCCTCAGCTTCATGTTCTCCACTTCATGACTCATAGATCCGTGATCCTTGGCTGATGATGACGTGAGGTGCGTATCACATTGC